GACTTAAATATATGCTTAGGCCTCGTTTAGGAATCGACCCGTTTAGCCAAAAAGTCAAAAAGTCACTAAAAAAATCAAAAAGGCAAAAAGATTACAAAAGCATGCTTCTGCAAAGAGAAGCTCTGCGAGCTTCCATATGGGCTAGATTTACATCTGATTTAGGCACCTTACATATACAGACATAATCAAAAGACTTAAATATATGCTTAGGCCTCGTTTAGGAATCGACCCGTTTAGCCAAAAAGTCAAAAAGTCACTAAAAAAATCAAAAAGGCAAAAAGATTACAAAAGCATGCTTCTGCAAAGAGAAGCTCTGCGAGCTTTTGCCACGTGTATGATCAGGATTGAAGACCTACCTGGTCTCCCCATATTACCCTCACTTTGTCACGTGTCGAATTGTCACTGGCTTAGTAAAAAATGTATAGCCAACACATACTAAGAATTATGAAAAAAATATCATGAAATGCATCATAAAGAACATTCATCATTTGATTAGTGTGTGGTGTTTTAGAGAAAAGTTAGGAATCATGAATTTTTTTTCATGAAAATGATCATGAAAGATTTATGATCCTTGGATTACCTTGATTAGTGTGTGGTGCTTTATTCTAAGCGTAATCCAAGGGTCACAAAGCTTTCATGATTATTTTCATGAAAGATTTTTCATAATACCTAGCATTGTTGGGTGTTTTATTGTATACATAATTTGAAGGTGAAAAATCTTTCATGATTATTTTCATGATTTTTTTTTCATGATTCCTAACATTACTCATCTTCCAAACCACTAATGCATTGGCAGCGGACATTATTGTATTGGGGAAGTATTTGGTTATGCAACCTCATGCACAATTTATAAAATCATGCAAGAGTTCATAAAAAATTGTAAATTGAATATAAATTTATTTATAAAAATTTTGAAATTTATAAAAATACGTAAGTTTTTATGTGAGACTTTTTTATTTTATTTATTTATTTATTTCCTTGGTGCTTTTTTTTTTGAGGACAAAGAAACTGCATATATCATTAATACAAAACCAAACATACAAAAGCAAAGTATCAAGATTACAAAAGCATGCTTCTGCAGAGAGAAGCTCTGCGAGCTTCCATATGGGCTAGATTTACTTCTGATCTAGGCACCTTACATATATAGACATAATCAAAAGGCTTACATATATGCTTAATATCATCAAATAATACTTGTAAATTTCAATCCACCAAAACCTCTGAATTTAATTGGCATACTAATTCCTGGCTATCAGTGAGAACATGAATGACTTTGATATGACTATGGCAGTACCATTTTAGCGCTTCTAAACATGCTCGAGTTTTTGCAACAAGTGGGGAAGGAGCTAAAAAGGACAGCCGGAATTAACATTTGGATCACCCTTATCATCCAATCCAACCCATGCTGCACCTGCTTGTAAAGATTGTTTCTGCCAAGCTCCATCAATAAGCAATCTGTCAAAAATTCCATCTGCACACCATTGAGATCGATTAGAAACAAAAAAACAATTAACTTCTTGCTTGGTTCGTTGATTACTAGGATTGATCATGTTGCCCCAATTTTCACATTCCGAAGGTTGATGGATAGACCTTTTAAGATTGTAATTAAGGATGGGTATAAAATCTATAATTGCAAAAGGGTGAACCATCACCCCATCAAAACAAGCTCTATTTCGGAAAAACCATAGGCTCCATAATACCTGAATAGACTCAATAATAGCTGCCTCATCAGGTGCAATGTTGAACCAATGTATAAACCACTCTTGAACCAGCAACTCCTCCCCTACATCCGGTTGCTGGATAGACCTTTTAAGATTGTAATCAAGGGTGGGTATAAAATCTATAATTGCAAAAGGGTGAACCATCACCCCATCAAAACAAGCTCTATTTCGGAAAAACCATAGGCTCCATAATACCTGAATAGTCTCAATAATAGCTGCCTCATCAGGTGCAATGTTGAACCAATGTATAAACCACTCTTGAACCAGCAACTCCTCCCCTACATCCAAAATCCAATCCTAACTTTGATCCTTGCCAAACATATTTGGATATTGGGCATTGAAAACAAAAATGTTCAACAGATTCTTCCGCCTTCTTACAAGAAGGACACATAGCTTGCAGAATTATTCCTCTTCTTAACAGTAATGCTCTTATGAGCAGAATTCTATGGACTAGTTTCCATACAAAAAGAGACCACTTGGGTGGAATGTTAAGTTTCTAGAGATGCTTCCAAAATGCAACCCAAACTTCTGCACCCACACTATTTTGACTGGTCTTAATCCCCATAGCAGAAAGGTAACCAGATTCTACTGAATACTCACCACTTGTAGTAGTTTTCCAAATAATTCGATCTGAAACACTTCCAGTAGGAAGGTAAATTTTAAGAATATGATTAACCATTTCTGGTGGAAACATGGCACGAACTAAAGGGACTCTCCATTGTTTAATAATATATTCAGGGGACTTAAAAACCAAAAGCAAAAATACCGGGATGGCTGAAAGGGTGTGTTTAGCCAAAACACACCTACTTGCAAAGGTCAATAATCCTCTTTTCTACCCTTGAAGTTTAGCCTTGAATTTATGAATAATGGAACTAAACACATTCCCTTTCTTCCCCGAAACATCCATAGAGGCTCCTAAATAAATGCCAGGCTTAGCCACCTCTCAAATGCCAAAACAATCCCTTAAAAACTCCCGAAAACAGGATTCAAGATTGGGACTAACCATCAAATCTGACTTATGGAAATCACCAAGGATCCTCTAGAGTGAAATTTCCCTAAAGTTTCCTAAAGTGCTACAGTGTATGGTTGAGATTTATTGGCAAGTCACATCAGAAAAATTGATGTGACTTGCCAGTAAATCTCAACCATACACTGTAGCACTTTAGAAAACTTTAGGAAAAAATCACTCTAGAGGATCCTTGCTCTATGGAAATTAATCCTTAGCCCGGATTGATGACAAAAAGCATCTAAAAGCCACCTCAAACACCACGCCTCCTCCTTTATAAAAGGCACAAAAATTAAACAATCATCAGCAAAAAAGCAGATGAGAAATGCATAGACCTTGTCGACAAATAGATATACCGTGACAAATCCCTTGAGAGGCCATCCCCGCAAGACCAGAAGAGAGAGCTTGGATAACAAAAAGAAATAAATAAGGAGAAAGAGGATCGCCTTGGCGTAGCCCACACCTAGGTTGAAACCAGTCCGTTCTTTGAGAATTAATCAAAATTGAGAATGAAACTGTGGAAATATATTGTGAAATAAGCCTAATCCACTTAGGACCAAAGCCCATACCCTCCATAACTTTAAGAAATCTCAATTGACTCTATCATAGGCCTTGTTCATATCTAATTTCATTGCAAAAAAGCCTTGTTTCCTAGATTTCTTTTTACGGATGAATTATCTTGCATATAATTAGCTTGTTTTGTATGTGTCAATCTATTTGAGATATGCTTATTTGGCAATGTTGCATTTTATCACCATGGATTGTTGTTTGTCTTTTTATATTAGTTATTATTTTTTATTAATAATATTTTTTTCGCTAATAAAAAAATAGAAGAATTGAACCAAAAAGTCTTTTTGTGCATGAGATGCATATGAGTTCCATGCCACGGCAAATATCAATACGTATTAAACGTTAGAAGACAAACTCACATGAAACTAATAAAGTTCATTTTCAACGTAGCGAGTTGCAGCAAGTGGCGTAGATAGAATGTCTTTCTAAAATAAATTATTATTTTAAAATAGAGGAATTTTTTGATTATATTTTGTAGCAGTCAATTTGAAATTTTTCATCTTAAATTTGAAATTAGATACTTAAAGTTTGTAGACATTGAAATTTTACTAAAGTCAGTGAAATTTCATTAATATTAACTAAAGATTAGTGAAATTTTGTTAACTAAATTAAGAGAAATTTCATTGTTAGGTAATAGAAAATTTAGTGCAAATTTTATCAAATTTTTCTTTAAGAACTTCATGTTCGTCATAAATCTTATTTGATAGATCTTAACGAAAAGGTTCTAAAAATGTAATTTTTTTTAAACAAAAATAGATATCTAAATAAAAAAATTATTGAATTTTAAGTTTTTAAATCATTTCACAACAAAACAACTTTTCCCAGCTTTAATGTTGGGGTATTTTTGGTCTGAGAATAACCTCCACAAATTTAGAGGAATTGAAGTAGGAAATATTTTTTGGGAATTACAATTCAATGGAAGTTTAAAAAAATAAAATAAAATCAATGATAAACTTTATCAATTTTAATAATTAAATTTATAATTTTTTTTTATAAATTTATAAATATTTTGTGAAGATGTCACTGATCTGTAATTTCTCCAGATATTTTTCATATATATGTCTTAATACTAGTAAAACTTTTTAACGAGGGAGCACTAACTAAAATCTCCTAAGAAAAATTTAATTTCTATATCAATTTTCTTATGCATATAATCACCAAAATAAGAATAAAGGGCAACCATCATGATGGAACAAAAACTTCAAATGAAACTTGGATAATAATATATAAAATAGCACACAAATTAACACTTAAAGAATAGAGATAGCCCATATAGACCGTCTTTGGGTTTTAATTCAGAAATTTTTTTTTTATTAAATCCATTAGAAAAAACAAGGAGCAAATTATAATCCAAAATTTCAAAATGCATTCCAACAATTAAAATTGTATATTGGTGGGTGTTGAAATCTGATCTCACAACTAATTGAATCTCATCTTCAAGATTCAAGGAATAAAGTCGAAGAGCACGTGACAAGATAGAGAAGCCCAACACCTGCATACAAGAAGACAACAAAGCACGATGATTCATCTACCCGGGCACTTCGACAATTAAGTCAATAAATTTATCTCTTAAAGACAACAACTCATAAAAAAAAAAACATACACACACGAGATGCCTTCCTTTTATAAGGCACTTGCCAAAGTCCCCTGTAAGTCTAACTTTATAGGACTATATTTCTTACAAGGATATCACTTATTTATGACTCCTCTCATTTAGATGAGAACAAACTCTCTCAAGAGCTCAAACTTACCCAAACAAGTAGCCTGATATCATCTAGGACCCTCAGTTCTCATTTGAATATCTCACATTCCGGTATGATTGCATCACATCTTGACAATCCAATGCCACCCACATGGCACCTCGGCTAACCACCTAGGCCACGTGGACAATCTAAAAATGTGTACCCACAGTTTTAAACCTAGAAAGACAACAAATATATACCAATACATCTATTATCAGTTCATGACTCTTCTATAGTAATTTGTGAGAAGCAGCCACGTCGCCTTTTGCTACAGTTTTGGTGAGTGGAAGAGATCTACGTCTCCAAATTTCTCAATCTGTTATCTCAGAATGAATTCTTTATTCCTATCTCAAACTCACATAGCCCCTCTCTCTTAACGGCAATAGACGATGTCGAATAGCTCTCGCTTCGGGCCACCATCATCATAGGTAACAAAACTTCCATCTCTTTCTATTTTTTTGAAATCTGGTTCTTCTCTGATTTGATGAGTGGAATAATTTTGAATTCAGTTTCGAAATAGTTTGATTTTTAAATGTGTTCTATGATTGAAAATGGGTTTTTTAAATGATCTTTATTTTTTGAAATGGGTTTCGAAATGATTTCTATCAGCGCATCATTTAAAAAATGGTTTGTCATAATTTCACTTCTTGTTATGAGAAATGGCTGCTTTATTTTGAGATTTTCCATATGTTTTTTTTCACCGAATAAGGGTTTGTGGGTTTGGCTTCAGTTTCACTCAGTTTAGGACTTATCTGAGAAGCTATTGCTCGTTTTCCTTGCGTTGTGTTTGGTTAGGGGATGTGGGGAGAGATTTGGAAAGGGAAAGATGTTGTGATTGGGAGATTTGGGGAGGGATTTGGAAAGAGAAAGAGAAAGAGAAAGAGAAAGGGAAAGGAAAAGGGAAAAGGTGTGTGAAACTAGGTGAAATGTAGGTATATTTTATTCACATTTTACCTACCTTTTCTATTTCCCTTTCCAAATCCATTCTTAAATCTCTCAACCAAACACAGCATTAGGAAAATAACAATTTGGTGTTAATTTGAAAAAAAAAAAAAATGAAATCAGTGGTAAAATTTATGAAATTATTGGAATTTCATAATTTCTTCAACATGCAATGGTACCATTCTTTTTCATAATTGCTGAGATTTTTTTCCCCTACTTTTGTTCTCCATATTAATACGAATTCTTTCTTGTCTATTTTCTGGGACATGTTTCAGTAAGCTCTGCTTCGAGGCTTTTCATCTTTAATTGAAGCCCTTGATCCTCCATTGAAGCTTATTTGAGATCAGATATGTCCTTGTTAGTGATAGCACTAGAGTTTCTCTCATCAACTCAACCTCTCTGCTTTTAAAATAGGTATCAAAAGAATTTTTGCTCTCTTTACAACAATTTTCTTGTTATTTATTTATTTATCTCTTCTTCATCTGGTTTGTCCATCTTCTTGGTGGTTTGTTGTTCTGAAAGTATTTTATTATTTTTTTTGGTTAAGTTCAAGTAAAGATTTTCTTTTTGCTGTTTTTACAACTTTGCAATTCTGCATAATATTGGACCAACAGCTAGGGAAAGTGATTTTCAATCTTTGCAGAGTAAAGGTATTTTTTTCTTTTTCATTTTCTTCCCTTTTCCCTTTTTTTTTCTTCTTTTTTTTTTTTTTGCTTGCATGCTTAATTTTCTTTCTTGTGCTTTTTTTTTTGAAGGTTTGGCAATACATATAATATTATTATATTTCTGGGTTTTTTTTGTTGCCTATGTATCCATTCTATTTTGTACCTTATTTATTTATTTTTTAATTTTTTGTTTTTTTGTCTTTTTTACTTGATTTAGTTTTTGTTATAGTTTTTCTTAGAAAGTTCTATGTGATCCATGGAGAAATGTCCCAGGAAGTTGGAATTTCTAACTCTCAAAATTTACAAGTTCATGTGTAATCCATTATGTTTGAAGTGCTTACTATTTTTCTTTTGTTTCAATGTGAGGCAATTGTTTGTTTACGACATTAAGAATGACAACAATTCTGTCTGATAAAACCAAAATCATCATTCCAGTCCTTCAGTCTCCACGAACGAAGTGTTTGACAACCATAGTAATCTCACAGAACATCAATTGGCACCATCTTTTTATTTTTGCTCAGTGTTAATCTTAATATTCTTTGATAGCTGACTCCAAAATTCAAATTTTGTAGTGATAATTGGCTATTTTTTTGATAAATATGGGCTGATTTTGTGTTGTTTTTTTTGTGTGTGTTGTTTTATTCTTGGTATTAGCTTTGTTGGTTTATTTATTTATTTTTTATTTATTTATTTATTTTTTGTATTTTCAAAATTTTTAGTTTGTTTGTCTATTTCAGATTCAGGAAAGTTAAGAGCTTTGGTGGTAATGTGGTGTGGGTGTGGATGGGATATATGCAAAATAAGGACATGTTGTGTGAAGTTGATTTTGGTTTTTTGTGGGTTGATTTTAATCTCTTCAAAATTGTGCTGTGTTTTCCCTTCTATTGGTGTGATTAAATTCTTGTGACTTTGGAAAGACGGGTTTTGTTCTATTAAGCAAAGAAATGTCATGTCTTCCTTTCTTATGCTTCTTTTTACACATTGCTTGTCTTTGGTTTTTTTTTTTTTTTTTGGGTATATATATTTATCCTTTTCAATAATAATAATTATAATAATAATAAAACTTCATTGTTTTTCTTCTTTTCCTTGTCCTTGGTACCTTTATTTGATTGTTTTTTAGTTTGGTAGACAAATCTAATTAATTTTGCCTTTGACCAAAGTTGCAATAAGCAATTTGTTAATAATATTCATCTTTATTTGTTTTGATCTCTCTATGTATGTTATTCTCTCTTTATTTATTTATTTTTTGGGCATAGTTATGGTTTTATAGGTTTTTCAAATTTGTTACTTTTGAGTTTGTGTTGTTTGTGATTGATTTTTGTTTGATTATTCATGAGTTGGGTTTATAACGGTCTGGTTTGTAAGTGTAAAGATTTCAAATGTACCATATTCCTTCTGTTACTTAGAGCAGGAAGGTTGTTACTTTTGTGTTACTAGGTGACCCATATGATATGAATTAAATTATTTAGAAAAATAAAAAACCATACAATTTAGAAATTTAACAAGAATGATATAAGTATTGTCATTATTATAAATAAATTTATTTTTGGATATTTACACGTAAATTTTAATTTATGAACTTATACTCCATTAAGTCTTAACAAAAAAAATTTTAACTTTCAAGTCCCATTAAATTTTTAATAATCGGAATTACTTTTTAAACAATGATTGTTCATCATTTATGATTATCTATAAAGGAATATGACAATTTGACATTTATTTTAATTTTCAAAACTTTAAAATATCAACTTTCAAATTGAAAAAACTTAAAAAAAATCATGTGCAAAAAAATAAATAAATAAGTCTTTTTTTGAAAAAAATTGAATTATTTTTTTGCGCAAAATTGAAAATTTTATGTATATAAAGGATCATGATGATGGAATATTGATGTGCAAAACTTTAAAAATGAGAAAAATGATAATGCTCTCAATTTTAAAACTGAAAAAAATTAATAATGTTTTTGATTTTATTAGATAGTTGAATCAAACCAATAAGTAGAAGGATAAAAATGTTTAATCTCATGCTCTATTTTTTTTTTCATCAGTTAATGAAACAATTATCTGGAATACTACTATGCAAAATTAATAATATTATTAGTTTTAAAAATTGAAAAAAAACTGATAATATTCTCAGTTTTATTAAATAGGACTTATTAATTCAAAAAATCTTAAATAGGATCTGAGCTACCATAACATTTATAAATAGGACTTTTAGATAATTAACTCTTTATTTTTAATAATGTTTTGTTTTGAAATAAATAGTCTAAAATAAGTCACATCATTATATATGAAAGTTATGCATGAATTTTTTATTTGTATAACACCAAATGTTATTTATTCTTGATTAATTACCGTTATTATTAGGAGAAATCATTACCCCATTTCTATTTTAAAATCTTTCCAACCACTACATTTTGTTCCAATCTTTTAGTAAATTTATTTTTAAGAACGTCAGATTCTCCAAATTTTCACAATAATGATGCGATTCACCATATCAAAAAACAAAAAATGATTCTATTATTATTGTTAGATATAATAAATGATACATGTCCGTATAATATTTATTGTGTAGATTCACGTAATATATATATATATATATACTAGTGGGTGGCACACGCTGAAGTCTACATTGTGCTCTTCGAGAAAACTAATAAACTCCATGAAATTCTCTTCAGTTGGGCAATAATGACCATTGTATGGCCATATAGCTTGAAGCATATAGAGAGAGAGAAAAAAAAAATCAACAAATGAAGGGAAGTTGAGTGACTATTGATATCTGATCAACGTGATTTTTTACAGGAATAAAATACTCGACGAGTTCTATACATTGAACAGTTCGAATTATTGATGCGAGCTCTGTAGTAAGCCCACAATATCTCTAAGGAAGAGGGAGAAAAGAGCAACACCCGAAAATTCAACGGCGATAGAAACTTAAAATTTTCAGATTAAAATAATACCCTTCACACACCTTACCTTTTTAACTCAATCACTAGGGGTAGGAAATGGGTAGAACTAAAAAATGGTGAAAAGAGACGTGAGGAAGAAGATAAGAATAAAAAAGTAGATATTTCTAGCATTTGGGTTCTATTTATAGACAAACGCATTGTGGGCACAAAGAACACACCGCATGCGTGAAAGTCACAATCACGGGCCCAGATTCCCACACCGTGGGCGAGATCCCAAAGTCGCGGTCTACTTTTGCGCCCTTCGCAGGCCACAAACTTTTATCAGGTAAAGGACTTGAAGGTGTGTTTTGGTCATGGGCTACATCATGGGCGCCTGAAAAGAGGAGACAACAACAAATACTTTGGGATGAAGTTACTGCTGCTGATGCACTTCAAAGAGAAACTGCAAGGAGGCAACAAACTGTTGAACATTATACCCTTAGCAGTTCTCTAATTATTGCTACCACTTCTGAAACTAGTAATTTCCTTTTGTATCTCTAGTTTCCTTTCTCAAGTTTTCAATACTGAAACTTAATATTGCTTCGTATTTCTTCTTTTGCAGCAACAACTACTCTATGTGCAATTTAAATAAGTAGGAATAAAAAAAAATAATAATGAAATTAATATTATAATGTGTACTTAGTTTAAAAACTCTTGCTTGGTCCTGAAGAGGAGGTACCTGAGGCTCACAGGAAAGAAGAGGAAGCAGAGAAAGAGCAAGAGACACCATTAAAAAGAAAGAAGAAAATGACGGTCTCTCATTCTGATTTCACTGGGGATTTCATTCATGAAACATCTGCTAAAGCAGTGGAAGTGGAACACTCCAAAGAGATCATTGTATTCCAGAGGGCTGAGAAAAGGAGATAATAACAAATACTTAGGGATGAAGCTACTGCTGCTGATGCACTCCAAAGAGAAACTGCAAGGCGGCAACAAACTGTTGAACATTATACCCTTCGCAGTTCTCTAACTATTGCTACCACTTCTGAAACTAGTAATTTCCTTTTGTATCTCTAGTTTCCTTTCTCAAGTTTTCAATACTGAAACTTAATATTGCTTCGTATTTCTTCTTTTGCAGCAACAACTACTCTATGTGCAATTTAAATAAGTAAGAATAAAAAAAAATAATAATGAAATTAATATTATAATGTGTACTTAGTTTAAATGGTATTAGTCCTCGTACTTAAACCCATGGTCATAGGTTCAAGCCTTGCCCATCTCTTTATTTAACTTTTTTTTAAAAAATAAAAAATACTGCCACATGGCATGAGGAGAGTAAAGTTGAGTAAAGTTTCAGGACACCATAAGAGGTGTTCACTTTATAATAGTATAGATAGATAGATGTGTGTGTGTGTAAAATTTATTCAGTAATAAATATTATAATTTTTTTTATAATAATAGAAATGTACTTGCCAATTGCCATTAAAAATAACAAAACAAGAACAAAAATAAAAATGCAGCTTTAAAATTAAAACGGCGGTCATAAAAAAGAGGAATAAAAAGAAAAAGGGTAAATTACATCTTACCTCCCTCAAGCATCGTTTCTTTTCATTATACCTAATAAAACTAAAAATTGTAACACAAAACCTTTTCTATTAATTTTTTTTCAATTTCAAAAATGAATAAATAAAATACCCCTTTAACTATAAGCATAAATTACACATTACCTCTTTAAACTATCACCTTATCCCCTCAATTAAAAAATTATTTGATTTTTAAACTGAAACACAGTTTTTGAGATTCTTTTTGTTTTTTGTATTTTTAGTAATTTTTTTCATATTTTAGTTTACTTTTAAATTTTTAAATGCACTTAAAAGTAAATATTTGTGAATAAATTTTCAAAAAATTTACTAAAGAAGAAATTTATAAATAATAAAAAAAAACAATGAGCTGTTATATTTTTGTGTTTTTTTTGTCTTTAGTAATTTACTTTAGATTTCTTTATAAATATTTACTTTTTAGATGCATCTATCTTAGATGTACTTAATAAGTTTTAAGGAAAAAAGATTAACTAAAAAAATTAAAGAAGTTCACTAAAGATTAAAAATTTGAAAAAATAAAAAAATTTAAAAATAGTCTTTTAAAACTAAACCAAATGGATTGATAATATCATTTTGGACATTTCATTCAAGATGTCATATGTAAGTCAAATGTCAGTTTTTCATCTATTTAAGAGACAAATCGTTAACAAAATATTTGCATTAATATAAATTTATAATTCAAAATAGTAAATTTTTTATTTATTTTATTTGAGGGTATAAAATGATATTAGGTGATAGTTCAAATGGTGTAAAGTCTTATTTATTCTATTAATGCAAATGGTATTTTTATCCTAAAGATAATTAAAAAATAAATAAATAAAAGAGCTTAAGTATTATAATTTTTTATTGATAAAAATAAGGTGATATTAAACAATAATTGAAAAAGTAATTATTACATTTTTTTTAATTTATCAGAAGAAAAACTGGGGATACATAAGAGTAATTATACTTAGACCACCAAATTAACTTGTTATTACATTTTTTTATTTATTTTTATTTATTTTATACTTTACCTGCAAGGCTACAAATTTTAAATTTTAATTCCTTCCTCATTACACTTTCAATAATAACTAAAATAGCCCACATTCACAACCACCGCCTCCGTCCCACCACTGTCGTGGTAGAGATGGTGGGGAAAAGGTAGGTATAGTGAGAAATTAAAATTAAAATTTTGAGAATTTTATTAATAAATTTAGAAAAGGTTTTTTGAGCTCTTTTATTGGGGCAAATTCTATAAATAAAATACGCATATAGCAATCGTGAGTGAGTGATTATTATTATGGGAAATTTTTTAATGGGTTATTTTTTAATAAATTCTCTTTTTAAGTATTTTATTCCATTTAACTTATATTCTTTTTTGAGTATTCCATTGAGTTATGTTTAATGTAATATGACCAAATCATCATTTCTAATTTTTTACACATGTTTCTATTTTGAAATTAATACATAACAATAGTCCTTCATTTTATAAAGAAAATCTCTCCCTCATTCTAAACTGAAAATCTTTCCCTTATTCCGTGAAAAAAAATCTCTCCCTTATTCTAAGAAGAAAATCTCTTCCGCATTCCATGGAGAAAATCTCAAATTATGAATTTTGAAAATTTTAAAAATAACATAACAAAAAACCTGAATGAAATTCAAAATATAGTGTGAATGTTCACAATAAATAACAAACATATAATTAACTTTTTTAAAAAACAAAACACATACTAGAGTACAATATGAATATTCACAACAAACAACAAACATATAATTAATTTTCGAAAAAATAAAATTCAGACCAAAATACAATATGAATGTTTACAATTTATAATTAACATACAACTAGCCTTAAAAAAAATAACTCATACCAATGAAAACATTTACACTGCAACGTGAAAATATAAAATATAATTGAAAAAAATGAAAATCTACTATTTCAATTGTTCAATAGTAACAAAAATGATTGTTCAACTACTAGATATAAATAGAGTTTCGACTTCTAACAATGGAGAAACATAAAGTTTCTAACACAGAACAACAATAGAGGAACACAAAGATTCACCGCAAAAATAGAAGAATATAATATTATTTCACCACTATGTGTAAATTAGAATTTCTAAAGCCTACCAAATAGAGAGTTTAACACTAGCCCAATGAAATAATACTACATATGTGAATGAAACTTATCCACACAAAAAAAAAGAAAAAGAAAAAAAGAAACGTGAATAATGGTAACTACCAAAATAAAGATAGCAACAAAAAGAAAATGTGTATATTCTTTTTCTATGTAATACATATCAATAATAAACATAAGGGTATAATAGTCCAACAAATCACATAAATCAGGAAAAAAGGATCTCATGGAATAAAAGTATAAGGCAGTGGCTTTGGTCCAGTCCAAGATCGGACTAGACCGTACTGTTGGGCCCGTGGGGGCCCACCACGAGTCCTGTTTTGATAATCTGAACCGTTCAATGTGTAGAACTCGTCGAGTACTATATGCTTGTGAAAAATCACGTTGATCGGATATCGATAGCTATATGAACAAAACAGTTTTTTATCAACCGTTAATTGTTTCATTGTCCATTTTGTTTAATACAAAACTGATTTGATCACATAGCTATTGATATCCGATCAACGTGATTTTTTACATGCATGTAGTACTCGACGAGTTCTACACATTGAACGGTTTGGATTATCAAAATGGGCCCAAAAAATGGGCACCATGAGCTGAACTGGACGGGTCCAGTCTTGATCTCAACTTGAGACAAGCTGGACCCAAAGTATAAATACATGGGACTAACTAGGTTATAATTTTCCTTGGTAGAACACCTCTAAATGAGATTTATCAATAAAAAACCTCTTTTATACACACCTCTTAAAAGAGCTGTATTATAAACATTTTTAATTATGCCATTTTCTTTTTTAGTTATTACTAATTTTCTTGTTTAATTATAATATTATTTTAGTTATAACATAAGATCTTTAATTATGGCTTAGTGTTTGGTTATGAATTTATTATTATTATTATTAAAAAAATATAAAATTATGTCATTTTTTTTTTAAAATTATAAGATATCTATGATATTCACTATCTTTACGACTCATTTTCTCTCTTATTTATTGTCGAACATGCATGCAAATCCACAACTAACCAGTATCGTCTTTTGATATGAAATCAAATTCAGGTCTTGAGTTTTGTAATGTGATCATATTAAAAGCTTAATATCTTATTCGATTTTTTAGTATTAAATTAAGTATACGTGTGTGTATATATATAGATAGATAATAGGCTAAGAACAAATTGTTGCAAGAAGCTGAAGGAGAAGGTATAGATAGATAGATAGATAGATAGATAGATAGATGCCTGCCTTTAGGTGGTAGTTTATTATTCTGACTTTTCTGTGTTTTTCATTTTCGTTTTCCTTTTCTACTTGGATGCTTTTTAGGTTATGATTTCTGTGTATGCGTGCATATTGATAAACAATGATGTATAAAGAAAATTGTATTATTGATAGATGTATTGATTGATGTGTGTTATTGTGTAAATACAAGAGAATGAGCCCTCTCTCTTTATAGAGAGGAGAGGGAGACAATTGGAATCGAAAAAATACATTAAAATAATACAAAGGCGTCTGTCAAAGCTGAAGATGGTAGTGGGTGAGCTCTTTACAGCTTACAAATGCCAGCCTACAAATGCACTATAGTGTATAGTATATTATATTGTTAACAGCCCCCCGCAAACTCAAGTAGGGTAGGAACTAACCAACTTGAGTTTGGAGAGAGTAACAAAACAGGAAAGTAAACTGATAAATAAAATAAAATAGGATAGGAGACACTGTATGGTCGTGTCTTTCTGTGTTTTTCATTTTCGTTTTCCTTTTCTACTTGGATGCTTTTTAGGTTATGATTTCTGTGTATGCGTGCATATAATGAATTAGTGAAGTTATATGATAGATTAATGAAATGAAACCCTTCTGGCATCATCAATGTTGCAATCCATCCTCAATTGTATCAAGCATTGGCTTGTTTAGCTAATTTATCCATCCACACACATGGGTTGGCTTTTCGGTAGACATGGTTGATTGTTGTCGCTCCTAACTGGTTCATGAGGTATCATATCGATGAATTTCTGATAATCAAATGTTTCATGATTTATATGCATCCGCTTTCACTTCTAGACTGCATAATCCCCATGTCAAGAGCAAGTTTTAATCTTGATGAATTACATATTTTAAAACTTTCAGTCTACTAATTACGGAGCTTTGGCCTATTTTAACAACACTGTTAAAAAAAGCAAGCTTTTTGTTTTTTTTGGATTATATCACTACTCTATTTTTTTATATGTTTTTTAAAAAAAAAATTAAAAAACCAACTTTTATCCTCTTCCGGATTGAATTGGATTTGAGGGCTTTGAAGGATTGATTTTCCATGGGGATTCAATATTTTATGACCCTCCGATTTTTATATATGATGTGTACTATTGGCTATTGATGTAAACAATTTCCCACGAACCAATTTTGATAAATGACGTATAGTGGTTATTGATGTAAACAATCCAACAATAAGAAAGTATTTTTCAGTGTTATATGATAGTGGTTATTGATGTAAACAATCATCAGATTGCACAGCTTGGCCCTGAGTTGGCTTCTACGCTTGTAATAGTTATATCAAAGGTCTGCATGGAAGTCATTTTTTTTGCTGCTGTTGTGTTAGTCGTCACAAATCACAGTTCAAAACACGTTGCTAATATGTTTCCGGTTCCAATTCTACTCAGAGTGGAGGCACTCCAGAAACAAGAAATGGTTTATTGGAAGTACAAAAAGCATTCCGTGAAGCTGGCCTGGATTTTGCAAAACAGGTTTTCATCTCAGGTTCTTGTTTCTGCTTTTATTTAGTTTTCTCAGCTCTTCAGAGTGTAAATGAAATATACTCCCTATTATTATTATTGGTTTGAAAATAGAGTAAAGTTTCTTACTGATTAGCTTTTAGCTCTGCCAAAATTTTTGGGTCCATTTGTCCACTATGGTCAAATGTCTGAGACTCTTATGCACAAGGAACTTTTTTTCTTCAGACTTTCTTACTTTTCATGCTACATGGTCTTTGCAATTGGCTTGATTCGTATGGATTAGGGATGTTTAAATTGTATTATAGGTCCTAAGAGTGACTTGATTTTGTTGTTTATCCTAGAGGTTTGAATACACTCTTCCTTTTTGTCACTACATTTGCTGTTTAGAAGTGTTGGGAGTGTTAGATATATATATTTAGACATAGATATAGTTTTTCAACTACTTATCGAAAAGTTTGTATGTATAGTTACTTGATTGCAGGCATGGCTACTTTTAATACTGATTTACCCTTGGGATTTGTTTATGGTGTGTAGCTTAGCTATAATTGATTATCATTGTCTTCATGTTATACTTGGTAACAAAGTCCAAATTTCTGGGATGCACTTGGCAAGTGTTAGAGAACCGGTTGGTTAGTCCATCCCCTTAACTTGTTGCACATCCTCAACAAATTTCTTAGCAAAATTAGCTGAATGGGATTGAGTTATGCTGCCATAAGCCAGATGTTTTGTTTTTTGTTTGTATATTTTTTTCCTGACTGCGAAATGTATGACTTGTTGCTTCATCTATTATTGTGCAGGGTGTCGCAATTACACAAGAGAATTCATTATTAGATAACACTGCAAGAATTGAGGGATGGTTAGCTAGATTTCCAATGTTTGACTGGATTTTGAATATTTTGAGTTGATTTTTTTCCTGATATATTTGGTGGTCAGGTTTCCTATGTCTTTAGAAAGCCTGAAGTTTCAGATATTGTGATATTTAAGGTGCCTCCAATTCTTCAGGTGTGTTTCTCATCTTCAAAGTAACAAATAAAATATTTTGATCAATTCATTAGACACTAATACATTTGTATGTATTTTTTGGGTGCGCCTTGTAGGAAATCGGCTATAGTTCAGGTGATGTGTTTATAAAGCGCATTGTTGCAAAGGAACGGGATTTTGTTGAAGTAAGTTCTCTTCTTCATTTAACTGAAAAATCCCATGTGCTTCATCTTGACATCTAATGTTCAGTAATTATGTGCCTTAATAGGTACATGATGTTAAGTTAATGGTGAATGGTATTGTGCAAGAAGAGGATTTCATTTTGGAGCCACTTGATTATGAAATGGAACCAGTGGTAAGAACTCCTGCTTCTTTGCTTTATCAAAGTGAATTTCTTATCATTAATCTTATTAGAGTCCTAAAACATTTACCATATTGGACTGAAATTTGCAATTTCTATTTCTGCAGCTTGTGCCTGAAGGTTTTGTGTTTGTCATGGGGGACAACCGCAACAATAGTTTTGATTTGCATAATTGGTAATTCCGGGTCACCAATATTAGAATTGCTTAGAAGTAATTTATTTGAATAGTGTAGCTGTATTATTCGACAATTCCTCATAAAAAATCTTTGATGTGAATATATTACTAACATCCAATATTAGAATTGCTTATATTTCATGATTCAATAAGTATTTATATATTGGCAAATTACGTTCCAAAATTATGTTTCAATTATAACCAAACATTTATGAAATCTTTAGTTCTGAGAATCTGTTCACTGAAAAATTATAATGCTCTCCTGTTAAGTTCAAGCCTCACCTTTTTCTGCATTTCTATTACAATGTTCTTTTTATATCCTTTGTGTTCCATAAAATAATACAACTATAATTTAGTCTTTCACCAATAGAAGAGTGCTATAGTAGTACATATCCATCTAACCACTTTATCTTCTGAATATGAAGATGCATGCACGGCAGGAAGAAGCGGAGTGAGCTCGGCAAGGTCAGAGAGATGCTGAGAGCAAGCTTTCCTCTTTAGAGGCAAGTTTCTTGTAATGTTCCTGTACATGTGTTACTTGTTATCTTTAATCAAGTTACATGATTGAAGACTAAATGCTGTTTATTTGGAGATGTCAATTGGGAATTGATTCCAACATCTTACAGAGTCGAGATGCAATTGCTTTTGTCTCTGGCCCACACCTCACCCGTCCACCAACCTGAGTCTGATTCTGCAGTGATTTTTTTATCAGCATCTCAGTCTACAGTGATCTCTGTGGCAAAGGATTCAGGTATTGAGCGGCGTGATATGTTATGATCCCACATCGATTAACATAGGCCATGGCCATGTGCATATAAAACTCTTGGGCACTCTCCCCTTACAAGTCGATTTTCAATGGTGAGTTTTGCCCAAGGGGTTCGTATCAGTAGTTAAGTAATCTTTGGTATTGAAGGGTAGGATGCTGGAGATAAAAACTTAAGTAGGTTTAATTGGAGTTCTTGCATGACTATGGCAACTTATGGGTGCTATGGTAATCTGTGTATCTACTTTGTCATCACAACAGATAACTAGAAAAAAGAATGCCTAATATATAATTTGCAAAAAATCCAGGAAACAAAGCCAAAGGCTATGGTTGGATTTTTGTTTTATCGGTTTAAAGTGGCAATATCTCAACTTGTTGCATTTGCAATTGAAGGAATAGATGAAGCAAGCACCAGAGTTTTTCTTGTTTTCTTACACTTAAGGGGTGCAAATTTCTGCAATTACATCTCTGCATTAGCTGAATGACTTTCAACTGGACAGATTACATCTTTTGACGGGTGGCTAAATGAATCTTTTTAACACTGATAAAATCTTGTCACAACTCCAACCCATTGCCTTCTTGGCATGTTATTTTTATTTATTTACCGTTGAGCCTTTATATTGACATTCCTTGTCTGTGCTGTGGATTATGTTCATTTATTAAATTATTATGATTAGATTAGATTCTCAGCATTGCTGTGGATTATGTTCATGTTAATTTGAACATTTGATTAGGTGGTGTTAGTTATGCCATTTTTCTTTTTTGAATTGTAGGCATACAGGAAAGATTCCCATTCATGGTGATGCTTATGCCAAAGCCACTTTATATAGGGATAGATTTCTCTTGTTGCTCCACAGGCTTTCTCGTGATCAGCATTTTTCGAAGCCTACATTTGATACTGAAAGGTCTCAGTTCGGCAGCTGGGAGGTAATCCGTCTCTCTGTTTTGCACATAAACATATCAAGATTGGAGAGACATATGTTAATTAAAGTATGCTTATTTATGTGTATATGTTGGGTAGATATCTCCAATTCAGAGTCTCATTGGGCTAACAGGGGGAAGATGGGGAAGATGGGTCATGGGCGTTATATCTCAGTTAGAGGATGGCCATTTCTACTTGGAAGACCTCACTGGAACAGTTGAAATCAATGTCTAATGCAATATTCTCTACATGTTTATATTTTTCTCTTTCGAGAGACTTATTGTTTGTTTTGAATGCTTGGATTTGGGCTGCCCCATAATCTCCAAAAGCGAAAGTTCTCATTATAGGCCTTTTTAAATAATGGAAAATAATGCATGAATGCTGAGATATTTGCAAATATGTCTTTACGTTTATTGTATATAATATTTGCATATATATATATATATATATATCTGATTGTAGGTATTTTTTTTTGTTTTGTTTTTTTTTTTTTGCGACGGTAAGATGGTCGCTAATACATTGTAGGCCTTTTTTAAACTCTTTTGCGACGGCAAAATATCAGTCGCTATAAGTAGGTTAGGCAGTCGCAAATAGTTTGCGACTGTTATTTTGCGGTCGCAAAAAGTATTTGCCACCCCCACATTCGCGACCCCCATTTGCCGTCGCATGGGCCGTCGCAAAAAGTCTTTTGCGACTGTTTTTTTATTATTTGCGACGGCTTGTAGCGGTCGCAAAAAGTACTTTTTTTAGTAGTGACCATATATCTTATTTCGATAATTTGAACCGTTCAATATGCAGAGTTCGTCGAGTAATTTATTTTTGTAAAAAATCACATTGATCGGATATTAATAGCTACTTGATCGGATCAAATTTCTGTCAACGGTAAATATAATTTTTCAAAATAAATTGTTGACAAAAATTTGATCAGATCAAGTAGCTATCGATATACAATCAATGTGATTTTTTACATGAATAAAGGACTTGACGAGTTCTACACATTGAACGGTTCAAATTATTGAAATAGGATCCGTGATGAACCTCACAGACTTAACAGCACCGTTTAGTCCACAAGCCCAACCCTTTTAGTTACGGGGGGGAAAAAAATTCCAAGTGAGTACAAAAATACACGTTAACAGACATGAAGGGGATCGGGTGCTTTTGTACTGGCAACATCCGATACAATATAATTGTAGTTATGGAAAAAGTTTGTTGCCATAAAAAAAATTTCTCACATCCAACTATTATTATTAAGAAAATTGCATACCTATGACCAGTTTTTTTCTTTTTTCGTTGAGAATCAAAAAGACTTTTAGTAATTAACTATTTTATCAATTAAATGAATTTGGTTCTCCCAATATTCTTACTTTTTAGATGGTAATGTGTATATAAATTATTGTGTTGTGCATATACGGTTCACATAATTTCCTGTTTGTCCATTCGAGCATTTGTGATGGGTCTATAAAAGCATGGTTAAAATTGCATGATTGCCATTTTAGGTTAACCTTTTTTGTATTGGATTTTTCAATATGGTGAATTTTTCTATTTTCAAGCCTAAAAATTTACTAAATAGTACACTAACGCTATATTTGATTCATAAATTTGAGAAGTTAGAAAGGAAAAGGGAAAAAGTAAATGTAATGCATGTAAAATATAACTACATTTCATATACATTTTTCCTTTTCCTTTTTAAATCTATTCCCAAATTCATTAATCAAACACAGCCTAAAAAATTTTGGATCTTCATTATATGAAGGTTGCTAGAAGTAGTCTCTCTTCGCATTTTTTGATTGTGAGACTTGGTCGTATTAGAAATGAATCTCATGCTTTCATATAGATATTCTTCATCAATTTTGATTAATTAATTAAAAGTACGAATTGACCCCACTTGTGCTAATAAAATTATACTATGCACAGGATCATATCATCTTTTTCTTTTTCTTTCTCTCTCTCTCTCTCTTTTTTTTTTTTGGTGTTTTGTTTAAAACCCTCTCAAGGGAAGGCATTCTTTTCATAGCTCATTGCTTTACATGTATAGTTTGCTTTTTCTCCATTTATTGCTTTAGTAGCTATTACTTGTACTATTGAATTACTTACAATGTGACTTGTTGCATTGGTTTTTGAAGATTTAAGGACTTGCACACTAATGGTGAAGAAGCATCATCAAGAATTTCACATCGATGACCTTCCATGCGAAATCCAAGCTCATATCTTCCTCAGGTTACCTGTTGAGTCTCTCATACGAGTGAAGTGTGCATGTAAACTCTGGTATACTGTTAATGTACACCTAAACCTACTCCACTAAACCTAACCCACTACACCACTCCACCTCCACTTCACCTACTCCACTACACACTCCACTTCACCTACTCCACCACTCCACCTCCACTTCACATCTCCATCTCCTATATAATGTACATACAATACATCAAAACTAATATCAATCAATAACAAACATCAATATATACATAATTTATTCTCTCTTTTTCTCTTTCTCTATCAATTTATCTTACATGGTATCAGAGCTAAGTTAAGAACTTAGTATTTTTCGCTTCACCGGCGGGCGGCAACCTCGCCTTGGCCGCGGTCAACCTAGTTCGCTAGAATTTTCTACACATACCTTCACTCTTCTTCACCACCTCGCCGGACAAACCCAAATTTCCTAATTTCTTCTTCAATGACAGATTCTTCAACAACACTTCACTACCGCAGCACCAGTCCAAATCACACACCCAGACCCACCTCCAACTATATCCATAGTCGCATAAGCAGTACAAGAACAGTTTCTCTTACAAACCATTTCACAATCCGAAAGACTTATACTCTGATTCATAAAAGCACTCGAAGTCTCTAGCAATTTCATATTCTTCAAAGTCAAAAAAAAAAACCCATCAGTCTCACAATTCAATTCCCCAATTCTCACACACCCATCAGACCCATCTCTCAAATTCCACGCTTGTAAATTCTTCGGCTCAAATCCAATCATACAGTTACATACAGGCGAATCATTAGTATTACACACCATAAACACCACATTCCATATAACTATCGCATTGATCTTTCGGTGCGTACCAGTATCGATTCCATACTTGGCTCGTTTCGATCCATGTGTATCTTTGTAAAACGCCAGATGGGTTCACCAACAATCTCGAATACACAGACTTGTCATTAATGTCGAGCTTGAATTCATAGTCTCCAGAAGACGGATCATCAGTGGTCTTCCATGGGGTCAAGTACCTGTTCAGCCCGGTTTTCACATCTCTGCCAAAGTCAAAAGGCCTCCTCTCTGCAACAGCTTCCCGAGTTTCACGCACTTCTTTGCAGCAAACTCCTTCAACACATCTTCGAAGCTGATGAGCCGATAAACTCAACCACTCCGATCACCGCCAATAACCACCACAACAGCCGC